TATTAAACACTGAGTTTTATATTCTAAGCCCTTAATGCTGGAAACACAAAATGGGCTTAATTTCGTATCAGGTGCCAATTTTCCCAGACAAGTTTGTACAGCTGAGTTTGGATTGACGGAGTTTGTAAAGTGAGTTTTACTGTGTGCTTTAAAATGGGTCTACACTCATTTTTTCATACATCTGCTTTGGTCTACATTAACATCTAGCGAGTGGTTCTCCGTGGAGAAAAGCTCTGGCGCTCCTGTTTCAGGAAGTAGAAGTTAGCTGTAGGAGTTGGGGGCAGAAAACAGCTGAATTTGGAGTCTTACTCATTAATATTTGGGATATGCAATCACTGGGCCTCTGACTGGCTAACAGCAATGCAATTCTTCTGCTGCCTCCATTTGTTCTTCTTTATTTTCATTTATTTACATTAAAATAAAAATACAGAACTAAATTCCTACAAGCCAAAATGAAAAAGGGGACAGAAAGAAGAAAAACTTATGTTATCTGCCCCTTTTAACTAAAATAACATTAATACAAATGAAACAATCATTTGATTCTTAAAAAATTTGAACAATATAGTTTCTGGACTGGTTGGCCGACCCAACCTCAACCCATGAATTGAAAAAAAGAGAGAAAAAAAGTTACACAGAGAGAAGCATAAAGTTATAGACCTATATACATACATATGCATACATAGACTAGCTCCCTTTTCCCTTTTTTTTTCTTCTTTCATCCCCCCAACCCCCCTCCCCTCACGCATTTATGTAACAGATCTATACAAGTTAATCATTTCATTTTTTTATCTCTTTTTTGAAAGTCAATATTGTTTTTGCATTCTTGATTTCAGTATTTAATTTACTCCACAATTTAACTCCATATATGGACACACAATGTTCCTTTATGAGTATCCTATGTCTAAGTATATTAAATAATTCATGTCCTTTTAAATAATATTTACTATGTCTTTTTGTAAATCTTTTGATTAAACCTGCAGGTAAGTTTGCTCTTTTTTCTTGGGTAAAAAAAAGCATGCAACCTTAATGTCTTATCTCTACAAATAATAAGCCTGAAGGAGTTCCGCTATGATGTGGAGTTGCTAATGCTAACGTTTAGCCTCTCCTAGCCGAGATGAACCCTGCTCTCTCGCTGAATCTCACATTGTTAGCCAAGATGGCTGAGTCCATGAATGCTAATTTTACAGTGTGACATACATCTGTGTTGCTTTTTCTGACTCAACCATTTTCACGTTTATTCTCTTCAGGCAGCTAAGGCAGAAAATGTGGGTAGAAGACAATTTCCATGTATAGACTGCATGTGAAAATTAGCGTGACCAATCATATTTGAAAAATAACAAGTATTACACGTTTCTCAGCTAACCTTGCCTTTGAAGTAACCGATATTTTTTTAAACATTAAGCTAGAGCTTTAACATTGATTTCAGTGATTGTTCACCATTTTCATATTTGACACCACTCTGCAGCCCTCCTCTGGCCAAAAACCACCCCTGACAATTTGTGGAACAGGTAAAGTGCACTACTGTAGGTGAACTTAACCTGTAGCTGTAATGCTAGCAATTAGCATCATGGCGGAGCCTGGAAGTACAAGTAAGAGAGTAATGTCTCTGGAGATGAAGCAAAGAGCTAAAATCAGAGTGAACATTGGCTCGGCCTACGCTAGCTAAAGGGAGCTAGAGAAGGCTACACAATCACAGACTGATGGTGACCTGGCTTTGTTGCTACTGGACTTGTAAGTAATTATATATTTGTCCAGCAGTGTGGATCGTTTTACTTTGTGGTTTATTTTAGTATTAACCAGCTCACGTTAGTGTTAGCTCGTTGTTAGCGCTAGCTACACCAGGCTGCAGCAGGGTTGCTTATGACCAGCAGTGTGGAGGAGCAGGAAACCTAAGATGCTGCATCTTGCCCGTCTCGAGCAAAAAGACTGAAGGCGTTTGCACAGAACATTGTTTATAGCTGGTGACATTGAGCTGTTGTGGTGAACTAATAAAGCGTTGATGCTTTTCTCTTGGATTTTCTTCCTTCCTCCCATACCGTGGAATCAAACGTTGCTCAACAGTAATAGCCATCCCCATGAAACACAGGATCAAAGAGTAGAACGCAGCATGAAATCTAATAACTTAGGATATTTTTTGTTAGTGATTTAAAGAATGAACTATTTCAGTCCTAGTTAGTTTATAAACGCTTCACCAACATTAACTGCATGGCTACCAGGACGTGTGATCTACAAATGGAAGTGACCTCATGCGCGGTCTTTGGCTGATTTTGACCTGTCACCAACAGAAAGGCAGAACTCAGTGACACCGATCCATTTTCTTAAGCACAAATCCTCACATTCATTCATACTTCATCACACTCCTGCACACAGTCTAATGAGGGATTAGCTAATGAATTCTCTCAAAAGATTAATTACATTTTACAGACTCCATCCCCACACAGCTGAGGAAACCAGCCAGTACTTTCAAAGAGATGGATATTTTTCCCTTTAATCTATCACTAAATTGAAATCTGTAGAAACAGATTGGCTCTGGGCAAAAGCGCGTTTGATTTGAGGAGAAGACATAAAAATGGATCTGAGGAACTGCAGAGCGAGGCATTACTTTTAACGGGAAAGTAAATAAAACGGGCCTTTGATTTGGCACCATTTTACATGGCATGAGTAGAATGAGGAGGCATTTTCATACCAATCTAAATGAGAAGCAAACATTTCTTTGTACCGCTGTTCTCCGGAGGGCTTAAAAGCATCGTCCTGCCTCCGTCTCTTTAAGTGACAGCAGAGAACAAGAGCAAACACACACACACACTCCCTCCTGCCATTTTCATGGTCTCTTGAGAGGAGGAGAAGCCCACGGCCAAAAAAACCAATGGCTTCTTGATCCCCCCTCCCTCTCCTCATGTTTCTGACTTTGCTTCCATTGCCCTTTCTCCACTGAAACACCCCGTTTTATTTCATCTTCTAAACGGAGCGGAAAAGTAAACCAACTTGGTTCTAACGTTAAAATACTAAAATAACGTACAGTTCTAATTAAAGCTGTTCAGATACAGCGTTTTCTGGGAGGAGCAGCCCCCTTGCTCGTCTGGAGAGGCCGACGGGAAACAATTATTTCACTTCATTAAGATTGAAGACAACTGTCTGGAACCCGTGTCACCAGAGAGACAAGCTCAGAAAGTTGTCAAAAGATCATAAAGTCGGCTACTGAGAGCAACAAGCTTGTTTACACTTATCACACGGCCTTAATAAATCATTAGCTGGCCTGGATATTTGCAAAACCGCAAGATAAGAACAAAGATCTGTGGGAGATTTACGTCAAATGTCTTATTTTCTGTCTAAATGGGAAACACCGTTGAAAAAAGGATTTAAAAAAGACATGTTTAGACTCTTAGAATGAGTTCTTGTGACAAACGATAACTGATGCAGCTTCTTATTTAACAGTTCATCTGTTTGTTGTGTGCATTTGTGAATTAGACATTAACCTGCAATAACTAACCCGCTTTAACCCTCTTCCACACCTCTGGGCTTTGTAGAGCAGAGACGGTCACTTGTATTTACTTACAAATTAACAGTGCTCACATTCCCAGAGAGGCCTCAAAGAAATTCCTCACATTTGTTACCCAGAGGACCAAATGGCCTCCAGGGAGGTGGGGGTAGTTACAGGCAGGGTGAAGTGGGGGAGGTGTGTGTGTGTGTGTGTGGGGGGGGGGGGGGGGGGGGGGGGTAATAAAACGTTTACAGATAAAGTTTGAATTACTGGAGCTGCGAATACTGGAGCAGAAAATGAGGTTTTTTGGGGTACAATGTGGTCATTTCAAGGACTTAACTGGAGCGTGGTGCGTCCTTATATGGTTTCAGAGAGGATCTGTGTGTGAGGCGGTCTCTCTCTCTGTCTGTGTGCGTGTGCGTGCGTGCGTGCGTGTGTGTGTGTGTGTGTGTGTGTGTGTGTGTGTGTGTGTGTGTGTGTGTGTGTGTGTATTCACGCACTGTCGCCACGCCAACAGTGTGGAGGCAGAAAAGCGCACGGAGTCCAGCTCTGCTCCAATAACGGGAGAAACTTGAGCGCGTTTCCGCGACAGCGTCGTCCCGAACCGCGCTGCAGATGCTTTACCTGCACGTCGGAGCACCAACTCAGGAAGAAACACCCGCTTTCTTGTTGTTTATCCACTTTCCAAAATACTCCAAACTTCCGTCACCTCTGCTCGGGTCAAGTCAAATATCGCCGCAGAAATCTGCTGCGCAATTCCTTAAAATCCCGCAGAGCACGGACAAACTTAGATGAAAAAAATGAACTATAAACGTTTGCGAAGACAAAAAACAAAATCATTTTTGTCTAAAAAATACTTTTAAATTAGGGAGAAAAACGAGAATAACGAAGTACAAACAGCCCGATTACGCGCGTGGGTTAGAATAAATGTCAAAATTAGGAACTTCTATTATTACAACATGAGGAATAAACACCGGAAGGTGTAATAAACAATTTAAAGATGATAATAACCGACATTTTTCTATATGAACATCAGTTTTCCTTTTTTTCCTCTCCATTCCTGCGCAGCTCGGTGAAGCAGGACGATTACTCAGTCCCATCAACCCGGAGCAACAGCTGATTATCACCGCAAGCTTTGATCTTCAACCTAAATAACCTCTTTTCTTCTGAAGTCGTTGTTTGTGACGCAAATATAAATAAAATGTCGCAACTTCTACCTTTGAGCGGTTCCGACCCAACCTGAGACTCGGTTTTAGTCCCTACAGCTGCGGTGAGAACAGATCCGACTCGCGGACGTGTCAGCTGTTCAAAGAGACACCTGCGCTGTATTTAAAAGCGCCATTCACACCTGGTCGTTATTTAAAAACACAATAGGAGCTTTAAAACCGGAACAACTTCAAAGCTAAACTCAACTTTTCTTCCCCGCCTCGCGCTCACCTGTCGGGATTTTAAACCAGAAGAACGAAATACGAGAAAACTTTTTCTCTCATCACGACGAAAGTAATTTACTGGCGCTTACCTGTCGGTAATTGGCCGTGGACACCTCCGGAGCAGAGAAACAAGAGTCCCAGCGCCGCAGAGAAAAGTGTATCCATGGTGTCGCGAGCTCGGCTCAGCCTGAAAAGTTTTGCTCGCGCTGAGTTCTCTCTTCCGTTCTTCACTCGTTCTTCTTGAAGTGTAAATATCTTTATTCCTTCTCTGGTTCTAGATTCAGTCGCTCCATTTCTCTCCTTTCTCCGGGTTTTCGCTTCCTGCAGGCTCGCGGACACTACACTTTGTTTCACGCGGAGTGAGTGAGGGAGCGCGAGGCGGAGAGAGAGCGAGAGAGAGTGAGAGCGAGAGAGGGCGACGTAGTGACGTCACGAAAAAGGAGCTGATTGAAAAATGAAGCGAAACTGTAATAAAAAGTCTGTGATTTATGATCATTTCCGGTTTTCATTAATACAGTTTATTAGTTGTTTGTATTTATTTTAGTTTGTTGTTGCTGAGAAAGTTACAGCAAACCTTTAAAGAACAATCTAAAACACAAACAAGTTATAATCAAACAGAAAGATACAACTTTATAAATATATGAACAACAAAACAACAATGACATTTTGCCTAACATGAAAACCAAACAAAATATTGATCATTTTCCATTTCTGCCTGTGGGGGGAGTTGCTAATACTAACGGTTAGCTTCTACTAGCCAGACGTTCTCTGCTGTTTCCTGGATGCTAAACCAACAACAGCCTTCCCAATGTAGTTGAGTCCATATCATGGCAACGAGCGAATGTTGCGGCATACGTTATGCCTTGCTTGGTAGTTGTAGTCAATCAATCAATCAATCAATCAAAGCTTTATTTATAAAGCGCCTTCCGCAACCCTGTCAGGAAGCCCAAAGCGCTGAACATGGTACAGTTGTAAGTAATTATACTGAATAAATCAACAATAAAAGAAATTCAAATTACAAAATACAAATTACAAAATACAAAATGGAAATAACAAGATAGATGAAACATTCCGGTAAAATACAAATGTGTGAAACACAATTGGATTGAGTGGATGGATTGAGTGTACCAATGAAAACTGTGGAATGGATTCAACATAATAGAGGGCCATAATCAAACATGTTCTGGAAACGCCAAGCGGAGGAGTTGTTTTTTTAGGTGATTCTTAAAGACTGGCAGAGAAGGGGACAGCCTAACTGAGGGTGGCAACTGGTTCCAGAGTAACGGTGCTAGGACTGAGAAAGCCCGGTCCCCACGGGTACGACACCTAGACCGAGGGACAGCGAGCAGGCCTTGGTCAGAGGAGCGCAGAGCGCGTGATGGGGAGTGTCTGTTCAGGAGTGTGGCCAGATAGGGGGGAGCACCACCCTGGAAGAAATGATAAACAAAGACGAGTATTTTGAATTGTGAGCGATAGGAAATCGGAAGCCAGTGCAGAGAGGCCAGAACTGGACTGATGTGGTCCCGTTTCCTGGTCCCAGTCAGGAACCTGGCAGCGCTGTTCTGCACAACCTGTAGGCGACGCAGTGTTGACTGACACAACCCTGCGTAGAGAGAGCTGCAGTAGTAAATCTAAAAAATGGCGATTGCGCCGTGGTGCAACAGAGGGAAATGTCCTCATCACATGAGGAGTTACTGCCGAGCTTGGGCTGGGAACTATTGAAAATAAAAGAAACCACGGGTTGCAAGTTTTACATTTTGAACTAGAAAAACGGCTGCACACTCCAGGAGCTTCTCCGCATTTGATTAAACAGAAGTCTGTGGTAGCACAAAGACAGCCCCCATACCCCCTTCATACCACCATTGTGAGATATTTTGTTAAAAAAGGACATGATTGCACAACATTACCACCACAGTCCGACCACTTATTAACAACCTAAGGCTCCCAGATGCTGCCACGGTGTGGCAGAAAATTGACAGCATTGTTTTGTAAAAACAGCTCATGAATGTTAGTGACAGTGTGATGTAGATCTGTCAGACTTTTCTAATCCTAGAATTTCACCGTTTGTTTTCTATCTGAAGCTAATGCAGGAGACAGGTGTAGGAGACTATTTTCATGTTCAGTCTGCATGAAACACTCAAAGTGATCCGTTACAATCAGAAATAAACAGTTTCAGTGTTCCACACCTTGTTAAATACAATAAAATAAAAACAATCAAAACAAACATTTTACACATTTTAGATCAAACAATATTATAAATGTTTTTATTATGTATGTGCTTTCTCATATGTGTTGTCTATTAAAATGTTCATGTTTGGTTTTTTCTGTAGTTCTTGCACCTTTTGCTGATGGAGCCACCATCTGTGTGTAACTTCCAGCTGTCACAAGATAGCTTGTCTTTTGTGTCAGTTTCAGATAAGATTGTTTCAAAAAGCTGAGAATTTATTTTTATTTATCTCCACAAAATTATTTATAGCAACACTTCTATGTTGGAACATTGTTAAGAGGCATGAAAAAATAGGTTTTAAGCTAGCTTGTTTTTTAGATTTGCTATTGTAGGTTCAGTTGGAGCGGGAGCAAGGAGGAGCAGTAGAAGCCCTAGCACAGCACCATGTGGGACAACGTTTTATCTAGAAAGGTACAATTCCAAAAAATCTTCTTCTTCTTCTTCTTCTTCTTCTTCTTCTTCTTCTTCTTCTTCTTCTGATCTAAATAAATGATCCGGTGCATGCGAAAGTTGACATTAGGTGTTATGTCGAGAACATTCCCACATGTCCTGTTTAAGGATGGGTTGGTTTTGAAAGTATTTAAAGAGCAAGTCACCCACCAGAGTATTACTCCAGTCCCACTTCCTGTTTGAAAAATGCAACAAATGCTGTTGTAGCACACCGAGAGGGTGGAGCCGCTAACAAATACACACACACATACACACACAGGCTCACAACGACATTGTGACATCATATGGTACCAGCTAACGTTCTAGGGTACCTCTTTGCCAATAGCAATGGCAGATTTAAATTCAAATGCAGTGCAGAGTTTTTACCTGACAACGGCACAACGCTGACAGTTTTAGGCAGAAAATTTAAATTTAACTAAAATGCACTAAAGTGCAAAACTACTGACTACACGTGTCTGCAGCACGATTAGACATGCATTTATAGAGTTTATCAGGAAAATAAGTGGATTTGGGGGTGACTTGCTCTTTAAGGGGTTTTGATGGTGTTGCCTCAGATGAAAACATTTAGTGCTGACTAGATGATGCCTTTAGTTGAAAATGTGGGCTTCCTGGGGATCAAAACTGCCTCCAGCAGACTATTTATACATCCATTATAAGATACAGAGCCTCTGTCCAGCTTGGGGCCCCCAAGCCATTCAGCTTTCCCGAAGCAAAAGCCCTCCTACTAATTTAGCATAATAGATGGAACACATGGAAGAGTGGAGCAAAGAGTGAAAGAAAAAGAGCTGAACCATGTTGAAGGTATTTCTAGTTAAACGTTTCTGTTTAATCCTGAACAGAAACAGATTCAGCAGGACAAAAATCCACCTTGTGCTGTAAGACGGAGACCAGAGCAGTGCAGCTTCTGCAGTGTCATCAGGATGTACCGCCAGGAGCTGCTCCCCCTTGATTTAAAAGAAACCTTGGTGGACTGTGACCACCGCTGAATGATTTTCTTTTTTCTTTTTTTTGCTAAAAACCTTCCTCTCAAAGAGTGATTTAAAAGACTACAACGCCCTCGATGCCCACCCTCAGGAACCGCTTCGCCACGCATGCTTGCAGTTAGTTTTATTCTTATAAAAAGTTATGAAACAATCACAAGTGTTAGCATCAGTCATGTGCTTTGCTGTTTTTAAACATAATTTGTTTGTGCCTGTCGACATGGATGACAACACGTTAGAGGAACAGTAGGAGCAGGAACCTGCATCGGCTCTCAGCATGCTTCGCCTCCTTCAGCGCCACCTCTACCGGATAAAAGGTGTAAAACTATCTCCTCCTCCAGGGTTGTGGTTCTGTTTGACAGCCACTTATGAACCTTGGAGTTTGAAAATAAATGCATTCATCATAACCAGTGCAGTGCTGATGGAACAAATACTCCTTGTGATGTTTGTATAGGTGTTCATATTTGGTATTATTTGCTGCACGCTTTCATTCTTCAAATTTGAAACTCGTTATTAGGCAGTGAAATGACCTGTGAGTGGTAAGTAAATTACATGTATGAGTTTGTAATAACTTTCTACGTTGTTCATCATAGACTAAAAACCACATAAACTCACAAGCGAGCGATTATCTTTAAATATATGCATGTGAACTAATGCTTTTTATATTTTCAAACTCCAGCGTGTTTAGTAGCTGTTGTGTGCACACGTATGAAGAGAAACTAGCTTTAATCTCTTGATGCAGCAATGCATCAACAGCTCTAAAAAGTGCATGCACACTGATCCAAAAACAATAGCAGCAAACATAATGGTGAATAATTTGGATTAAATGTTTGTATTTAGGGGTAATATTTGAAGTATAGCTTATTATTATGTATTTATTATTGCTTAAAAAGCAAGCCTCCTCCTACCAGAGTTCTACTTCACTCCCATTTCCTGTTTGAAAAATGCGCCACAAGGAGGCGTTGCCTGACGGACCGAGAGGGCTCACGTCGGCATTGTGACATCTTACGGTACCCGCTAACATCATAAGGTGCTTTAACAAGACACACCATGCCGGCAAATCAGCGTAATATTACTGCCATGTCTATAAATGCGCCATGCCAGCATGGCGTTGCACGAATTTTGCGGCATTCATTCCGCCTCTCTTTGTAGTGATATTGCTGTAATGGTCTGTCGTGTGCGCCCTGGTGCAAGAGGCAGATGTCATGATGGCGTGGGGAGTTGTTGCTGAGCTCCGGCTGGCAAATTAATTGAAAGTGAAAGTAAACACGGGCAATAAGGTTTTCTTTTTGAACAAAGCAGCTGACATGGCAAACTGGAGCGCCGCAGCGCTCCACGAGCCTCTCTGTTAGAGCTGAAGCTCAGATCACCAGAGACTGCACAGGGACTGATGGGGACAGACACCTTTAAGAGCTGCTTGTTAAAAAAACGTAACGATCACGGCTTCAATCACAATAAAAAGCAAGTTATGCAGAGACCGCCCCCATACCCTCTTTATGCCGCCATCACCTAATCTTTAATAAAATTGCCACGATTACGCCACATTACCGCCACGGTCTGATCTTATAAATGACCTTTATCCTCCCCAGGGAGCCGCGGCAAATCCCGTTTTGCAAACGCTATGGTCCTGTAAAAACAGCTATAGGGTACTTCTTAGCCAATAGTGATGGCAGATATAAATTCAAATGTAGTGCAGAGTTTTTACCTGAAGACAGCACAACACTGAC